GCTGCTGGGGGTCGGTACTGTACCATGCATCCGAATACTCGTAACATTTTTGTGCTGCCCTGTTTCCCTGTCCATAGCAGATGCGGTGATGCGTTGTTTGGAAGCGATGATGACGAGAGCAAGTTGTGCAGCATGACGGCGTGGTCCATTGCCGCAGGCCACTGGTGGTTGGGTAGCCGCATGCCACGTAACAGTTTGCGCATGCTGTTATGCAAGGTCCTGTTCATTCTTTCTGCTACACCTTGCTGCTGATGGGCGTAGGGAAGGGAGATGAGCCGCTTGATTCCCCTTTCCGCCAGGTACTGCTTGAATCGCTGAGAGGTGTATTCTCCTCCTCCGTCTGACTGGAAGCTTTTCAGTTTCACGCCCGATTCTCTCTCTGCTACTGGTAGCCAGGCAACGAAGGCTGCGAATGCCATGTCGCGGCTAGGGAGGTTTAGGTGCCAGACGTAACGGGTGGCGGCGTCGATGAAGGTGATTGTATAGTTGTATATTACTTGTCCTGGTTCCCGATTGTACAGGATGTCGCTATACACCTTCTCGACTGGTGCGTACGCGGGTGCGCTCGGGTTGTGATGAGACGCAAACGGTCGATGTGGCAAGTCACCTTCAGGGCAGGTGAAGCACGTTCCGCGTACTCGTTGAAGTTCTCGTCCGTCGGTCAGTAGGAGTGAGTCCTTGTCGAGTACTCCTGCTCTTATCGTATTGTTTAATACTGTGTTGCTTGGGTGTCCCATCCTTGCGTGCCAGGTGCTTTCGTCGGCGCGATGTCCGGGTGATCGTCGGTACATATCGGAGTTGGAGTAGAAGTTGGCGGTGAAGTTGGCGCTACGATGAACTTCTCGTGGTGCTGGGTGTAGTTCTTGCGCGAGTGTCGGTGGTGTGTCGTCGATGAGGAGCGGTGTCGTTGACAGACCAGCAATTGGTGTTGACGTTCCTGCTGCTGCCGTTGATGGTTCTGCTACTGCCGATGTTGTCTCTGCTGCTGCCGATGTTGTCTCTGCTGCTGCCGATGTTGTCTCTGCTGCTGCCGATGTTGTCTCTGCTGCTGCCGATGTTGTCTCTGCTGCTGCTGATGTTGTCTGAATTGTTGCTAACGCCCTTGTTCTTTCTGCTTCAGGGATGGTGTGTGAATAGCAGAAGCCTTCTGGACTGAAGTCTGGATCAAGGTCTGGAGGGTGTGTCCAGTTGGTGAAGTTAACGATGGCGTCGCTGTCGGCGGTGCCAAGATCAGGAACGAAATCGAGAACGAAGACGTTGTTCTTGAGGACCGCCTTGCCGATGTAAAGTCCTCCTCTCCCGTGATACAGCTTGAATTCTTGGGTGGTGCTGTCTGCTTCGAGGTGAATCCCTTTCGCCATTAGCTGACTGACGCTCAGTAAGTTGTAGCCGAGTCCCTCCGCGATTAGTACTTTTGACATCTGCAGTATAACGTTTGTTTCCCTTGACTGAAGTTGAACTACGCCTTGTCGTCGTGTTCGCAGGTTCTGATTGTTGGCGACTGTAATGACAACTTCGCGTTGAAGTTGGTGTTCTCGTTGAACGAAGCGTCCCGAGGAGCACATGTGCTGTCCGCAGCAACTGTCCAAGAACCATGTGTCCTTTCCGGATGGTTCGCTTTGGGCGATGGCGGCGTATGTCGGGTTCGGCTGAAGTGACTCGCGGTGGGGTGTGGTTTCGTCGAGTTGTTCTTCCGGTGAGTAGTGTGGTGGTGACTCGGTGATGCAGGAGTCACTCAGCTTTGCCATGCAGCTGACGATGTTTCTTGCTCCTTGTGCAGGTTGTCCCGTTGAAGTCGTTGAGGCTTGAATCTGGGTCGTGGGATTTGCTTGCGTTGAGGCGATTTGGCTGCTTGAAGGTTGAAGTTGCCGCTGTGGAGTTGTTGACTGTTGACGATTTGGGCAGTGCATACGCGGGTGTCCTGAAGTTTTGCAGATGTGGCAGAACGGAGGTACTGGCTTCGGTTGTTGCTGTCGGTTGTTGTTGTTGTTGTAGCGTCGCTGAGTGTGGAACGCGAATTCCGATGCTGATGTCTTCTTTTTGTGTCGTTCTTCTTGCAGGTCCATGTCTTGCTGCTCGGCGTGGATTTCGGCGCAGAGCGCTGCTTCGGAGATTCTTCCGTGAGCTCAGAGAATGGCCTTTGTGGCGCGCCATTGAGGACCGAGGCCGCCGATGATGACTGTCACGAAGGCATCTTCAGAGATCGACCCTCCGCATCGAAGAAGCTTGTCGCGCAACTCACGACATCGACTGATATACGCCATTCCTTTCTCCCCTGGTTTCATTTCAACCGTTGTCAGTTGCGCCATTAACCGACTTTGGCTTACGCTGTCTGTTGCTTGATACAGGCTCTTCAGGTGGTTGTACGCGAGCTCCGCGGAGTTGCCGTAACCTCGGTAAGACCTTATGTTCTGCTGTTGAGTCGGGGTGATATTCCTCAGTAGGATCGTGTACGCCATCATTGACTGATAGGTGTACTGCTGCTTCTCGTACTGTGTGCCGTTTGTTGGGTATGGCAGAGACCCGTCGAAGAACCCGAGTATCTGCGCGCCTTCCATCATCAGCTCGAACTCGAACGACCAGGTGAAGAAGTCCTTTCCATCGAAGGGTCTTGACGTCTGCATCTTCAGAACGTGTGCGAACTGCGACTGAACTTGTAATGCGTCCAGTGATTTTTCTTGTCCAGGTGAAGGCTGTGGGTGTGGCATAAAGCTGATGGACCCGCGCTCGTACGGAGCAAAGGTAGGCTGCTGTTGTTGATTTCCTCGTGCATATGATGAGCCGTCGAGACTCATGGGTGTTGCTCCGTTGTTGTTGCTGTTGTGTGACTGCGCAGGTGCCGATTGCTGGTGTTGCTCGTAGAAGGACATGAAGGAGAAAAACTTCTCCATCATGCTCTGGTCGAAGTCTGCAGGTTGATTCGCGGGAGTCTCGGTAGATGTTGCTCTGGGTCTTGTTGCTGTGCCCTCCTCTGTCTGTAGGCCAGAGGCAGGAGGTGGAGTAGGAGTAGTGCCCTGGGAGCCGTTGGAGTTGCTCCTTTCCTTTTGTGTAGCCATGCTTGTTGATGTTGTCGGTATAGAAGTTGAATTCCCCCTGATAGCTCTCATACCATGTTGGGCTGAAAAACCCTTAGGATCTTTGCAGGGGTGAACTCTGGGTAGAGTTGGTGTAGTAGCGGAAGCGTTAATTAAAGAGTTGTGAACCACCTTGCGCTAGTATGTGAGGGCAAAGTAAGTTGATTAAAACAAAGAGATACAAGCCTTTATAAGAGTACAAGGAATACGAAGAGATACAGTTAATAACCGTTTTACTATTGCTGTTGCGGTTCGATACAGTGACGACTCGGGCAACTGCTCAATACCGAGTCAGTTATTTGTCCTTGCTGTCGCGCTGTACTTTGTCAGGTCAAAGGTCGCTGACCTTTGACTTTCGCGTAACCTCCAACAGTTACTTTCAACCTCCGAGGGTTGACTCGCCGGTGATTCGTTATACTTCGTTTCTTTTGTGTCTTAGTGTTTCGACACGACAGAGGCGCTTAGGACCGATTGTTTCCAACACTTTGCACTGTGTCGCTTGAGAATACAATATTCTTGCCAACTTTGCTACTTTGCTTTGAGCTAACGTTATACCAGTATGCTTAGGAAATATGCTGATGAGCAAGATGTGGGAGCTACACGGCTTTATAGTCATATTGCAGCGTGTCATGAAGCAGGCCCCACGTTATCAGGGCAAAACATCCTGATTACCCTGAATTCAGGATGCTGTTTTGAATTTACCCTGTCATTTCAGAATAGTGTAAATTTTAACCCTGAGGTCTCAGGATGTTTTTATATGAAATGCCCTGAACATTCAGAATGGCTGTAGTGTTCTTCCTTGTAGCGTCAGGATGAATGCCGAGGCCTGCCCTGACGCGTTTTTTGTTGGGGAAATTTCCCCCCGAGGATTTTTGTCTCCGTAGGCAACATCGTCGTGAAGCACCCATTCAACTACCCAACCATCCAGAAGTGGCCTAGTCACTAGAAAGGTACTTCCGATAGATGAGGTCTTGGGATCGAACCCATCCCCGTGCAGTAGAACTTCAGCCGTAACTTTGGCAACCAACCAGTCTGAACCCTGAACACTTGTTTTTTGCCCTGACAGGTCAGGATTGATTTCTGAAAAAGCCCTGAACATACAGGAAGGCTTCGAAAATTTGCCCTGACAAATCAGGGCATTTTTTACGATTCTGGAAAGGTGCCCTGAGGCCTCAGGGTGCCCCAAATCCTAGCACGGGCCCTGTCATGAAGTATCTGTGAAAGCAGCCTCTCATTGTTCTGTGTCTGGGGATTGTGTACTAAATCGCTAAGCTATCGTAACTAGCGTCTGAGATGTTTGTAGAGAGTACAGAGATGACGCCCATTCCACGCCTTATTCACGCCTTGAGATTTGTTCGCCTTGGGCTTGGAAAAATAGGGAGTTGCGCGGCACGAGATCTGTACAAGGCAACACGCTAACAGGCTTGAAATAGACCAAGCAACTTCTCGACACCTTCGCGCACGGCCCTCTGTTTCCGATGTATGCCTCGGAATCACCAGGCGACATCCCTGCGAACATACTTCGTATTTTTTGTAATGATCAAGTGACCAGTAAGTCCGTTCAGCGGTACCTGGAGCGCGGGAATGATTCCGGTGAAGATCCGCCGTGCATGGCGGTGGAAAGAGCAAGGGCGGAGGTGAAGGTAGTGTGAGTGCTCCAGCTGCTGTGTCAGCTGCAAACGTGATTCCTGCTCCCCCGCTGCCGCGCTTGCTGCTACGGTCCCTGCTGCTGTAGCTACCACTCCTCTTCCTCCTGCTGTTCTCGCTGCTACACCAGCTGCTTCACCTGCTGTCACACCTGCTGCTGCCGCACTTGCTGCCACACCTGCTGCCATACCTGCCGCCGCACCTGCTGCCACACCTGCTGCCATACCTGCCGCCGCACCTGCTGCCACACCTACTGCCGCATCTGCTGCTGCGGTCGGGATGCGTCGCGGGGTCGACTACAGCAAGTGGGACCACATCGGCTCCGGCAGCGACGAGGAGGAGGACGAGCATAGGGGGCCGCTGAAGAGGGACACGTCCCGGAGCGGTGCGGGAACAGAGCCAACCCCCCTGAATCTTGTCGGGACCTATGGGGCCGGCCGTTCGGAACTCAAGAAAGTGATTTGGCTTGCCAATCAGAAGGCGATGAGACACTTTGGTGGCTTCCCATATCCGGCGGTCAGAGCTACGGTGGAAACCAAGGTTCCAGGGAGAGTGGGAGGTAAGGAAGAACCACGGAGGTTTCAGTTGCTGAGTGGGGAGGACATGGTTCACTACCTGGACGTGAGGGGCGGGTGGGATCAGAAGGAGTGCGACTGCTGCTTTGACCGGGCGGTCAGCTTGGGAGCGGATCGTGCTGTCACCATGGAGAGCCTTGAATTCGTCCGATCGCTCCTGCACAAGCGGTTGCCTGACGCCACCCCCTTTGCGCCATGTTCCAATGGCGTGAACAAGGCTGTGCTGGAGTTCTCCGCGGGCGTGCAGGCGTTTGGCGAGCAAGGAGAGGTGGCATCGCCTCGTGTGCAGTTCTCCTGCAAGGAAACTCTTGCGCCGTTTGTCTGTGTGGAGGGGATGCTCCTCGAGTGGATGACTGAGCCTCGTGTGGGTGTGCTCATGGACTTGGGGAGGATCAGATCCCGCCTGCCTGCCATTCTGGCTAATGATGGGTCTTTTGGGGATCACCCTGCTGCGTCTGCTGCTTCTGCATCTACTGCTGCTTCTCCTGCTGCGCCTGCGGCTGCTGCAACGTGGTCCTGCTGGCGGTGCAGCCGCTGCTGGGCTGCCTACCGCTGTGCTGTCAGTTTCACTGCCTTCCTCGTGCTTGTGGCGAGGTGGCCTCGAGTGGACATTATATGGAAGGCTCACTTGGATACATATGATGCCGTCTACCCAGCGCTAGCAGGGCAGCTGGGGGTGGGCAGGCAAGGGAGGGAGGACCCTGCTGCGTCCATGCTGGTGAAGGTGCTGGGGGTGAAGGAGAGTGCTGATTTGCAGGAAGGGTTTGGGTTCTTTGTGCAGCATGTGCTGTCAGGCGGGCTGGAGAAGGCGCATGCAGAGGGGAGGGGGAAAGGGAGAGCTGCGGGAAATACTGCTGAGAAGGCGGAGGGGATGGGGAGTGGGCAAGCTGGGGAGAAGGGTCGGACAGTTGCGAGAAAGAGTGTGGGGCTGATGGGACAGATGGGGCAGATGTGGCAGCCAGGGAAAATGGGGAAGGTGGGGCAGGCAATGGCTGCTATGGTGCAGAGCGTGGGGAGCGGGGCTCGCGTGGGGTCGGCTGAGTGGCTGCAAAGCATGGACGAGTTTGGAGTTGACGTGGCAAACATGGAAGACCTGGGGGCGCTGTTAGATGGTGCGGGGGCCATGGGCATGGGTCTTCCTTATGAGGTTGGTGGTTGGGGGGGGAGTGGGAAGGAAGGGGTGGGTGGTGAAGATCCGAAGGGTGAGAAGTGGAGGGAGCATCTGAAGGGGCGTGAGTGGGAGAGGTATGTGGATGGCATGGCTTGGATTCTGGAGCATGGAGGGGGGGAAGGGAGAGAGTTCTGGTGCAGCCACTGCAGTGAGGGGGGCAGCAGTGTTGGCAGCAGCAGCAGCAGCAGCAGCGGCGGCGTGAGTAGTGTTGTGGAAGGCAGCCGTATTCCCAAGGGCATGTATGTGAGTGGCGTGGGTGCCACTGACTTCGCCCTGGCAGTCGCCTCGGTATTCTCCATGCCAGAGCACCGCAAGCTGGGAGCGATGCTTTTTGGGGGGTCTCAGAGCACAACCAGCAGTAATGTGCATGATGCTGCCATTGAAGAGGCCAGGGAGAGGCTAAGAAAGCAAATTGTGACAAGTGGGAAGGTAGCAAAAGGGATGGACGAGGACGAGGGAGGGGAAACAGAAGGAGGAGTGGAAGCAGCAGCATCAGCTGCACTGGAAAAAGGGCAACCAGGTCCCAGTGCTGATCCGCTCTCAGCCAGAGCTGGATCTGCTGATTACAGCAGCGTCTCTGCTGCTATCAGTGGGAGCAGCAGCATGAACAGCAGTGGGATGCGCAGTCCTGGCCTCGTGCCTGTCAACACGGACCCAAGCATTGGGCTGCTCACGTATCGGGTTGCTCGCCTCTTGCAGTGGCTTCGGATCTATGGCTCAGATTTAATTTCCGCCAAGAGCTGCTTCAAGGACAGCCCACAGGGCAAGGTCCTGCCCATGCGCCACCCGCTTCGGAATCTTCCGAGCCTGCTGGTCCGGTTCGGCGCTGTTCTCCCGCCATTGGATGGAAGCACTGACCTCCCGGAGTGGGAGGAGTGGCCCGAGGGAGACGAAGCTTCTACGAAGTTTCCTGAGGACTCTAGTGCCAGATGTTTCAGGCTGGGCAGGGCGGATGGCAGGCAGGATCACACAAACAGCGGGAATGGGGAAGTGCAGCAGGGAAGCTTCCCGGAAGCTTTCACCGAACAAGTGCCACCGCTTGAGAGCGGGGAGTCCCGTCCGATCGTGTGTTGCAGGGCAGATGCAGACTTGATAGTGGAGTTCGTTGGGTCGTACCTGAACGCACCAGCATGTGGCCACTGCAGCACATGCGTCGGCCTGTTCATCTCCCATGTCCCCTTTGTCGCTTTCATTGCCAACTTCGCTTATCGCCCGGTCTCCGTCCTTCTCGACCGCTTCCTCTCTGTCTTCAAGCCGTAGTCTGAGGTGTTTCAGAGAGTTCTCGCTCGCCTGGGGCTGGACTCTTCCTTATACGCCGCTCACGACAGCCTTTATGGCAACCGCAGCAGCAGCAGCAGCGTACGTGCATTACGGGAACGGGTGGAGCAGGTGCCACTTGCCTTTCTGCTCGACCTGGCGCTCATGCGTGCCACGCTTCTCCTGAAACACTGCGGGACAGAAGACGGGCAGAATCCCAAGGCTGGGGGGAGAGGCTCTGGGGTTAAAAAGGAGGTGGGCAGGAGGGCGGGGAGTGGGGATTCTGGGGAAGGCAAGGGGGGCAGAAAGGATGCGGATGAAGGAGATTGTGGGGTTGTGTGGGAGGAGGTCCAATCCTGGTTCACGGTGGCAATGATGCCCGCCTCTCGCATGGGGGAAGGCGTGCCAGCCTGTTGTGATGGGCAGGCAAGGGAGAAGGATGTGAGTGCACGAGTGGAAGTGGCCAAAGAGCTTCACCAGTTGGCTCTGCTGCCCAGTTTCCATGAAGACATGAAGCATGGGGGTGGGATTGGTAGTTTTAGCAAGCGGAAGGGAAAGAAGGGGGAGGAACCGGCTTACTTGAAGGCATGGCCGGGGGGAGTCAATCTGGTGGCATGTCTGCGGGAGATGCTGCTGGGGGAGCCGTGCTACCGCCCTGCCTCCCCTGCTACCCCATCATCTGCTGCATCATCAACTGCTGCTCCAGGAAACTCATCATCGGATGCTGCATGCACTGTCGCTGCACCAAGAGTTGCTGCTGCAACCAAATTAGAGGCAAATACCGGATCCCATGATCGAAGCCATGGGCTCGTATCTCCTGGCAGGCGTGTGTGCGGTGCTGCGGGGTGTGGGAGGGTGGAGGGGGGTGGTGTGAAGCTGAGGAACTGCTCTAGGTGTGGCAAGGTGGCGTATTGCAATAGAGACTGTCAAAAGACGCACCGGCCTTCCCACAAGCTCATGTGCCTGAGAAACAGCAAGAAGAGTGTGACGACCATCGGCAAGGTAAGTGCCAGGAGGGAGGTGAAGGCGAGAAAGAGAGAGTGGCAGGTGGGAGGGAGGTGAAGGCGAGAGATGAACTGGATGCAAATTCTGCCTTAAAGCTGTGATGTCCGTTTAGGCCACGAATTTCAGTGTTGTACACCTCCCTTTCTAGTAGGGAGTTCCGCTGGTACGTGTGACAAGAGGAACCTAGGGCATTGATGCCATGTGCTTGTTGACGCCCCTTGGCTGTTTGCAAGTCGGAAGGATGCGGGTGGGGTCCTGCTGCTAGAACCGTTGTTCAATGCAACCGCTGTGGTACAGGCTCTGTTGGCTGCAAGGGATTCAACTGCTACGTCTGTGTCTTGGCAATCAATTGCAAGTCAGCTGATGGAATCGGCCCCTCACCCACCATTCGCTCCGTCCCTGCACTGCCATTCCTGTCTCCTTCTCCTGCCATGCCTTTTTCACCACTTCACCTTTTCTGCGCATTCCTACCCGTTCCTCCCTCACCCACTCTTGCTCTGGCAGGCCTGAAGTGCTGAGTGTATGCAATCAGGTACTCGTGGTGTGCCTTCCATCGTCCGTTTAACTTCATTGATTGGTGCCCATAAGCTATTGCTAGGCGTGAGCACTTCTCGCACACTCCTCTCGTACCCCTTACTCATCTCATATCTGTCAGTAATACCCCCCCCCCCCCCCCCCCCCCCCCCCCTTTCTCTCATTCACGCCACTCTTTCAATACCCCCTACTCCCATACTCCCCACACCACTCCTCTCATGTCAAATTGCATATTGCAACCCGAGTAACTATTTTTCATTTGCCTGTTTGCGACATCGCCCCAATCTGCCTTCACTCCTGTTGGGCTGAAAAATAGCCCTTAGGATCTTTGCAGGGGTGAACTCTGGGTAGAACTGATGTAGTAGCGGAAACGTTTAATGAAGAGTTTGTGAACCACCTTGCGCTAGTATGTGAGGGCAAAGTTGATTGATTAAAGCAAAGAGATACAAGATTATATAAGAGTACAAGGAATACGAAGAGATACGGTTGCAACTACTTTACTGTTGCTGTTGCGGTTCGATACAGTGACGACTCGGGCAACTGCTCTGTAACGAGTTAGTTGTGTGTCCTTGCTGTCTCGCTGTACTTGTCAGGTCAAAGGTCGCTGTCCTTTGACTTTCGCGTAACCTCCAGCAACTGCTCAACCTCCGAGGGTTGACTCGCCAGTGCTTCGATATGCTTCGCTTCGCTTCTGACTTGGTGTTTCGACACGACAGAGGCGCTTAGAGTTAATTGTTTCCAACACTCCCCTTCGCTTCTGGAGTGTAGCTGCTGGTGACGTGGCTCTGTCCAGTCAGCAGCATGCAGTACTCGAACTTCTGCTTTCCGAGCTTCTTGGTCAAGTAGTCAGCTGCCATCTCGGACATGGGGCAGTATGACAGTTCGAGTCTCCCCTTCTTGATCTCGTCCTTCACGAAGAAGTATCGTAGGGCGATGTGTTTCGTCCTGTTCGCGAAGCCGTTCTTGTTGGCTATGCGAATGGCCGACTGGTTGTCGCAGAACACGGTAAAGTTTGGTAACTGGGCTAGCTTGGCTTCCTCCAGGAGTTCGCGAAGGTACAGTCCTTCCTTGGTGGCTGAGCAGTTTATGCTTCAGCTGAAGAGAGGGCGATTAATTCCTGCTTGCTCGACTGCCAGGAGATAGGTCCGATAGGCTCGAGGCGATATATGTAGCCGGTGCGCGAGCGTCTGTTCTCGGAGTCGCCGGCGTGATGGCGTCGACGTAGCCGATTAGTTTAGGCGCTGTAGTCGTGTTCTTATGGTAGGTCAGGCCGATTGTCGGGGTGCTGACGAGGTAGTGAAGAGCGCGGTCGAGCTCTGCCAGATGTTCCGCTTCAGGTTTCTTGAGGTAGGTGGTGAGCTGGCTTGCAGAGTACGATAGGTCCGGCGGCAGGTGACAGCTGCGAAGAGGAGGCATCCCAGCTTCCTCTGGTAATCGCGTATGCCGGCGGGCTTGAGTAGAGCGGAACCTTCCTTGTGGTTTCCTGCCGTGTAGCGGTATGGCGTGGAGATGACGATCGGCGTGAGTGCGAAGCGCTTGACGATGGTATCGGCGTATTTCGCGGCGCTGAGGTAGATCGCATTTTCTTCTTCCTGGATGTTGAGGCCGAGGTACTGTGTGACGGTGGATGAGACCGTGAGGGTGAGATCCTTTTGTAGCTCCCCTTCAAACCAGATAGTGACGCTGTCGGTTGAGCCGATGTAGAGCAAATCGTCTACGTAGACTATTAGCAGGATGTAGTCGGTGCCCTTTGTGAGCCGGTACATGCCTTGGTTGTGAGGTAGCTGGCGGAATCCGATGCGAGTGAGTCTTGCGTGTAGGTACTGCTGCCACAGCCTTGGGGCTTGTTTGATACCGTAGAGTGACTTCAGCAGCTGACAGACTTGATTAGGCTCTCCGTTGGAGCCGTGCGGTAATTCGACGAAGATTTCTGCATCGACGGGTGCGTAGAGGAAGGCGTTGGTGACGTCAATTTGCCGCAGCTTCTTTTTCTTCATGGCGGTGATCGCGAGGAGGATTCGCAGCGAGGTGTGTCGGCTGACCGGAGCGAACGTTTCGGTGAAGTCGCGTCCGTGCTCTTGGTCGAAGCCGCGTACGACCCATCGTGCTTTAAATTTATCAATGGTGCCATCTGCCTTCGTTTTCACACGGAAGACCCACTTCCCGGTGAGAATCTGTCAGAATATTATGTTTCTCTAGTCTGCAGTGGGGTACTCTATAGTGAGTACAACCCTTTTAGGGTTTGCTATATGTATCCCAATGTTTGCTAGTGAACTCCCCTCTCTTCCCCCATTCCTCGTTTCTTCACATGCTATCAGAGCATCTACGCTCCTGGCCTGTGGGCCCATCTAACTGCTTCCGCTGCTACTCTGTGCGTTGCACGCCACGTTGCGTGCGACGAAATTTTTTCTTCCCCTCGCGCCACCCTTAGCGGCCCCGTCGCCGCCCTTCTAGGCCCCTCGAGGCCCCTTCGCGGCCCCGTCGCCGCCCCTAGCGGCCCCGTTTCCGCCCTTCCAGGCCCCTCGCGGCCCCTTCGCGGCCCCGTCGCCGCCTCCAGCGGCCCCGTCGCCGCCCCTAGCGGCCCCGTCGCCGCCCCTATCGGCCCCGTCGCCGCCTCCAGCGGCCCCGTTGCCGCCCCTTGCGGCCCCGTCGCCGCCCCTTTCGGCCCTGCCTCGACCCTGCCCCGGCCCCGCCCCGGCCATGCTCCGTCGCCTGTCGCGGCGCACCGGGGGCCCGTGCACCGCCCCCCCCTCTTTTCCCGTCGCCCGTCGCGGCGACCTAAGGGGGCCGCGCGACCTGGGGGGGGGGGGCGAGCGCCGCCCCTTCTGCCGCCTGTTTTGGCGCCCTGGGAGCATGTGCGTCGGCCCCCCCCCCCCGTAACCTCCCTACCCGCCGTCCCGCCCTGCCCTGTGTTAGGGTCTGGGGGTGGCGAGTGGGGGGTGGCGGGTGTGTGGTCTCCCCTGCTCCTCCTCCTCCTCTGTCTCCCACTGCTGCAGCTGCCGCTGAGGGGGGTGGGTGTGTGGGAGTCGACGGAGTGGTGCTAGGGGGTGGGGTGTGAGTGAACCTAGGGGTGCAGTAGGGGGTGTGTGAAATGGGGGTGGGATAGTTTGGGGAGGTTGAAGGGGGTGGCCGCCGTGAAGCCCGCAGCTCCAGTCGCCCGTGAGACCGTTGCGCCAGTCGCCCGTGAGCCAGTTGCGCCAGTCGCCCGTGAGCCCGTTGCTCCAGTCGCCCGTGAGTCCGTTGCTCCTGCCGCTCAGAGTTAGCCGCGGAGCCAGTTACTCCAGTAGCCCGTGTGCCAGTTGCTCCAGTTGCCAGTGTGCCAGTTGTCAGAACTAGCAGTAGAAAGTAAGAATGAAGAAAGGAGGATTTCACTAGCAAGCAGTTGAGTACATATAGGAAACCCTAGATTGGGCTGTACTCGCTATAGAGTACCCCACTGCAGGCTAGACAAATACAGCATTCTGACACACCCCCATAGCCAAAGTGGGGTGTAATAAGCACAATGAGCAGGTATAGCAGGAGTTCACAATAAGAAGCAAAGCTAGAGGTAATCACAGCGGGCAAGTGAGGAGGAGGAGGGACTGTGAGAGGAGAGAAGATGAGAGACGGCGGTTGAAGCTGCAGACACACGGGCAACAGGAGCTGCTGGCACAGTGGCTACCGGGACAGTGCGCCCCGGACTACTGGAGTAACTGGCTCACGGGCTACGACGAGCTACAGGAGCAACGGACCCTCGGGCGACAGGTGCAGCAGACTCTCTGGGCTACCAGGACAGTGCGCCCCGGACTACAGGTGCTGCGGACGACAAGACAGCAGCCTCCGCTCAACCTCCTCCAACTGTCCCACACACCCCCCACACACCCACTGCTTCACTCCTAACTCCACTTGCACGTCACCCCCCTAGTACCACTCCTTCGGCTCCCACACACCCACCCCCCTCAGCGGCAGCTGCAGCACTGGGAGACGGAGGAGGAGGAGCAGGGGACGACGCACAGAAACTGCACCCCCATACCCCCCACCCCCAAACCCTAATTCAGGAGAACGGGCAGCAGCAGGGGTGGGGCGCCGTCAGAAGCACGGGGGACATCGGGCAGCGCAGGGGCAGAGAAAACAGGGCGCCCACGGGCCTGGCGCAGCCCGTACGAACCGCGTGCGGGCGGCCCGAGGCGCGCCCTGGCCTGGCGCAGTCCGTACGGGCCGCGCGCGGGCCTGGCGCTGCCCGTACGGGCCGCGCGCGGGCCTGGCGCAGCCCGTACGGGCCGCGCGCGGGCCTGGCGCAGCCCGTACGGGCCGCGCGCAGGCTGTACGGGCCGCGCGCGGGCCCTACGCAGGTCGCGCAGGCCGCGACGGGCGATGGGGGGCGACGCGCGGGTCCCCGTCGCCCGTCGCAGCGCCTCCCGGGAGCGACGCGCGGAGTGACGGGGCAGAAAGCCGCCGCGCGCCTCGGGGCGCACGGCGGGCAGAAAACCGCCGCGCGCCTCGGGGCGCACGGCGGGCAGAAAACCGCCGCACGCTCCGAGCGCGCGGCGGGATGAAAAATCCGTCGCACGCCACGGGGCGTGCAACACACAGAGTAGCAGTAGCAGCGGAAGCAGTGAGGTGGTGGGCCCACCCACAGGATCGACCCAAGGGGATCGACCTGCTCTGATAGCATGTCAGAACTAGCAGTAGAAAGTAAGAATGAAGAAAGGAGGATTTCACTAGCAAGCAGTTGAGTACATATAGGAAACCCTAGATTGGGCTGTACTCGCTATAGAGTACCCCACTGCAGGCTAGACAAATACAGCATTCTGACACCAGTTGCTCCAGTTGCCCGTGTGCCAGTTGCTCCAGTTGCGCCGTGTGCCAGCAGCTTCAGCTGCCGCCCACTACCTCCTCTCCTCTCATAGTCCCTCCTCCTCCACACTTGCCCTCTGCGATAGCCTCTAGCTTTGCTTACATTTGTGAACTTTAAACTGTTGCTTCTTGTACTTGTGCTCAGAATGTGTGGTGACATTGTGATCCACCCTGAGCTTGTTCTGCTTTGCTTGT